TTTTTTTTTTTTTTTTTTTTTTCCTTTTTCCTTCTTCTCATTGTTCATGCTTTTTTTTTTTCTTATTTAACATTAAGTTTCCCTTCCTCTCACTTCTCTCTCTTTATCGCTATTGTTTTCAATTATTCACTAAATAAATAAATAAACAAATACATAAATTAAAACTCTCGGGCTAGCCATGCACGTGGTGGTGAATGATTCCCAGGGAGTCGAGGACTATATTTTCAGCCAACCTCGCTACGTCCTTAATGTCGACACCTAGTTCCTCGAGGAAGCTCCTTGTTCTTTTTGGGATAGTTCCGCGAGACCCAAACCAGAGGCCTCTCACGGTGAACTCTCTCTCTCCGAAGGTCTCACGGAATTTCTCTTTTAGGAAAGGGATACATTTATCGTACGTGTTCTTCTTTTCCCTTTCCACTTCACCCGCCTGATCGAGGTCATTGCTCTCAAAGCGGACAGTTGGATCCAAGATCAGCGCTGTCCCCTCTGTCTTGGGAAATGCGACGATATCAGCGTATCTCGTAGAGCCTTCACTATCGATGCAATATACCTCGTCAAAGCAGGTGAATTTTTTTTCCCTAAGGAGCCTCATCAACTCGAACTTGACCCGGTGGTGACGACGTGTTATGAGGAGGGAGTTGTTGGGGCATTTTCCCAGCACATGTGCTGGTGTTTCAGACTCTCTGCCGCATTTACGGCAGAGGGACCCAACTTCTCTGACCTGTCCGCTGACTCCTGGGACTCCACGCAGGGGTGCATAATTAATGTTTAGTTTTAGGGCATTCGACCATTCAGACCCAGAAAGTACTTGCTTTTCGTAGATGTATCTATTCGCTTTCGGGGTCTCTTTAAAATGGCGAACACCAATACCCTGCCACCTGCAGTTGGCCCATTCCTCAAATGCATTTTCTCGTAGCGACTGCCGTAGAGCTTTCACATTTCGATGACCCTGATCAACCTCCAATCTCTCGGCACATTCAGCAATTTCAGCCGAATAATCGAAGGTAGACTGAAAAAGGGCATCTGGTACATTGGACAGTCGCTGAGCAATGGACCAATGTTGAAGAGGAGCCTCCCATTGGCAGCGGATTAATCCCAATCGTCGGTATCTCCTGGGGGCATATAACATCGCTGTGGAAGTATTCGCAGGGAGTCCAATAATGGCCTTTACGCTCCTGCGAATCATAGTGTCGATGCCCTCCAGTATAGCAGGACGTAGCTTTGTTAGGGGCGCAGTTTGGAGAGGGTAAGTAAGACCCGGGAACAGATATTGATTGACAATGTTGAGTTTCTGCTCAGGTTTAAGTAAGCAAGAGGTTACCAGCTTGTTTAGATTATCATTCAATTTAGTCACCGAATCTTCGTTGAATTGCAGCTCTCCCGAGAATGTACATCCTAAATACTTAATCGTATCTCCATTCTTCAATGTTTGGATGTACTCACCATTCTCAAGGGAGAGCACCGTCGTTTCCAGCTCTCCTTTATTTATAACGATGCCCATACTTTTTTGAGGATTTATAGCCAGACCAATTTCTTGTTCTTTGTATGCTGTCAATCACTCTTTCTGCAGCCCCCTTGTCAGGCGCCGACACTGCCTGGTCATCCGCGAAACCTGTGAGGACCACACAATCCTGCTCATTCCTTAATTTGTATCCGAATTTCTTGGAAAAGTCCTCGTCACACAGGTCGCGCTAGAGATGATCGATGGCCAGGTTGAAGAGTGAAGACGACAGGGGGCCGCCTTGGGGTACACCGCGCAGCACTTTGATCTGGCTAGTTGCATGGACACCGTTGCCAATCTTTATGGTGTTCGTGCTAAGGAGAGCTGATATGACATTTGTAAGATTCGGTGACACACCTCTCGCTTCTAAGGAGCTTACGATGTGTTTGTGCCCAACATTGTCAAAAGCACCGACAACGTCGAGGAAAACTATCGCACAGTCATTTTTCATTTTTTGTGCATCTTTTAATACCGCGTCGATGATCCTCGCGTTGACGTGCGTTCCCGGGAGGCCTTTTATAAAGCCTCTCTGACTCTTGTGGAAGGTGACCTGCTTTCTTAATTCGTAGTCCAGAACCTTCTCTATGATTCGGCGCACAATCGAGTATATGGTGATCGGTCTCCAGGTAGAGATATTGTTTATATCACCTTTGCCCTTATATATCAATATTGTGCGCCCTTGTCGAAGTGGTTCCGGAACATAGGCCACCTTCAGCATTATCTCTGCAATCGTTTTGATAATGCTTGATACGTCAAAATATTTTATTGTGCGGATCAGAACTCCATCAGGCCCCGGCGATGTGTCCATTGATGTTGATTTAATGGCTTTCCTGATAGCTTCTATCTCAATGGACAGCAAATACGGCATCGGGGCACACTGTTCGTAGTCCGCACGCCCGCAGAGATTTTCGCTCTCAAAGAGGTCTTTATAATGCCTCTCGATTTCGGCCATTTTTAGAGGACACCGTTTAGGAGCGTCGGCATTCATTACAGTTTGCACAACCTTTTTTCTTTTATTATAATAATTATATTGGGCAACCTCGTACTGATACTGCTCTTGCCGACGACTCCTGTCTACTTTGTTTGCCCTCTGCGGATTTGAGACTTGTCCAGCACCCTTGTCAGCCATTTTCATTTTATTTTTTTTCCTCATCCTATAAAATTTTACGGCTGGGTGCTGGGGACCTGGCAGTTCCGCATTCATGACTTTGAGGAACTTTAGGAACTTGCCTACGGCCTCATCAAAATCCGCAGTATTCACCATTTCTTGCTTTAAAAGGTTCTTGAACGTAGTAGACCATTCAACAATGTCCTCTTTTATTTTTGATGACTCACCCTCTCCATTCCTAGGACCTATCACGTTCTTTACTATGCCCCTCAATGTATTATTATTCGCCTCCCTGGGATGTTTTTTTGCAATGTGGGTTCCGAGACCTCGTTCGCCCTTAAAAGAAAGCCCGCATATCAGACAAACTTTATCATCAGGGCGTAGAGTTTCATTTTGCCGCTCACTAAGTACCTCTGCGACATTCAGCGGATCATTTGGCAATCTGGGAAAGACATCATCTATCGCCACCGTCTTTCCCAATACCACACCTTCTGTGTCAGGCCATTCTACTTTAATAAATTTATTTTCTCCGCCTCCTGCAGTAGCCACAGACATCACAGAGGCAACAACCGCCTCTTGAACAGGTCCTCCAGTTCTCAGAACCCATACCTTTTGTCCAACTTCGATCTTCTTCGTTGGTATTTTGTTCATTGCAATCTTTTTTTTTTCGTTCTAGACTATGCCCACCACGCGCATGATTGAAACAATCTGTGCATAATAAAATAAATAAATAAATACAAAGTTAAAAACTATAAAATTAAGTGTTAAATAGTGTTATAGTTAAAATATAAAATCGATAAAAGCTTAAAAAAATATACATCTATCAAATAAATTGCTTATAAATAAGTTACAATATAAAATCAGTAAAAAGTTTAAAGTTAAAATTTAAGTACAAGTTAAAAATAAGTGAAAGTTAAAATCTAAAAAAGTTAAAATCTAAGAAAGTTAAAAAGTTAAAATCTAAAAAAAAGTTAAAAAGTCAAAGTCTAAAAAGGTTAAAATCTAAAAAGGATAAAATCTATAAAATAATTTCCTAAAATGAGTTAAAATGTAAAATCAATTAACTGTTAAAAAGTTAGAATCTAAAAGAATAAATAAATAAAACAATAAAAATAGTAATTGCCTAAATCAGTTAAAAATCAAAAGATAAAAATTTAAGTAGTATTAAGTAGTATTAAGTAGTATTTAAGTAGTTAATTGAAAATTTCCATGGGAAAATATTTTAGTTTCGAAGTTGTCCAGAACAAGAGTTGATTACAAAAGTAATTACCTTTTCATTTTTAGTAAAGAGTATACAGAATGCCCCTTATGCAACTAAATATTTTTTAAAAAATTTTATGAATAAAATATGTTTTTTGGCAATTATATTTTTAAAAATACATCCCATATCACGTAAAAAGAAAAAAAATCTTTTAAATAGTTGATTGTAGTCATTTTCGCTTAAAACACTAATAATTTTAGGTGACTATACAGATAATCACATCATTTCTTTACACAACCTGAGGTGAATCTCAAAATTTTGCTTAATGAAACTCAACTTAATTAACATCGACTTAAACCTTACTGTACGAAAAAGTTTTTCTTAAAGTGAGGTAACTGTAGTACAGTTGGATGTTGATAAAAAAAAATCATATATAATTTAAGAATTTTTTTCAAAACGGAACATGCCCGAGTTTTTTTGGCTTAAAAGTTCTCCTTAAATGGTTTTAAAAATGGCAAACTCTACTTTCGTTTGAAGAAAATTTTATCTAGTTTACTATGGTGCAATTTTTTATTACTTAAATCAAATGTTTTTGCAGTTTTCTCTTTCTGTTGTACGTAAAACGTGACCCGTTTAAAAAAAAAAAATTAAATTTCCTACTTTTCTACTGGAAATAAGGCAATTGTTTACATAAGATTTTTTGCAGAACTGATGTCTTCTATCAACATTTTAAATATTAACCTCTACTTACGGGACACCCTGTATAATATTATTGAAAAAAACGCCATTTCTTTTAGCTTTCATTTTCATCTCTAAGATGGTTTTAAGTTTTCTAGCACAGATTATTATTTCTAACCTCAGCTATATTTGTTTTTGTTAATCGAAATTTATCAATGATGCGAAGTGTAAAATTATATTTAGGTACAATTAGTATAACCTTCTGGGGAGAGAATATTGACTAACGTACCATTTGAAAAAGTGTGAGATTGGCGCCTAGTAAATTCATCTAAAAGACACTAAATTTAGACAAGAGATAATATTTATTATATTTAGACAAGAGATAATATTTATTATATTTGGACAAGATATAATATATATTATATTTGGACAAGAGATAATATATATTATATTTGGACAAGAGATAATATATATTATATTTGGACAAGAGATAATATATATTATATTTGTAGCTGACTGTGCTCACTCCAAGGCGTACCATTGGTACATAGCTAGTATTCACCACAGCCAGGCGTTCTCTGCAGTTAAGTGCGATTCATATATGTCATACGAGCTGAGGAAGTGCGAGGGCAATGAAGTGGCATATATGGGTGCTAATACATCACCAAGGTAATATGAGCTTTTTTATTTATGACTGCTGATTAATTAATAATAAAATGAAGATTTTATAATACAATGAAAATACATTATAAAGCAAAAATAGATAAAATGTGAAACGAAAGAGTTCTAAATATTTTATTCCATTTCAATGCTAATGCACTAATCGTAAAGGAATATATAAAAATATAATTATTAAATGACTAACTTTATTTGATATATATATATATATAAAATAAAGTTATAAATATATATAATATATATATATATAACTTTATAATTATATATATATATATATAGTTATATATTATATATATATAACTATAGTTATATATTAATACAGTTCTTTATAACTGTATTATAAAGAATACATCTATAACAAATTTTGATATATATATATACAGTTATATATATATATATATATATATAATATATATATATATATAACTTTATATAAATAAATATATATATATATATATATATATATATATATATATATATATATATATATAACTGTATATATATATATCAAAATTTGTTATAGATGTATTCTTTATAATACAGTTTTAAGTATCCGTACATATATTATTACAGTAAGGCTCGAAATCGGTTTTGTACCAAATATAAGCTCCTGTCATGCTGAAATAACATGAATGGGGTACCGTTGGATTCAGAATTTCAGCGAATCGTATTCTCCACTTTTGTTTTTCTTTCTAAAATAAATACAGTCGATAAAATCATTTTGCTAGGCTTGAATACCTGAACAGTGGTAGGTCTGTAGATCGATGCGGGACAAATTGGATCTAGAAGATTTTGATGCGTACAGCAAGACCCGGATAACTATCGGATCCTACGTTTTTAAGCCTAAAAACGTACTATTTTCGAGATAACGCAAGGCATAGTGTTCGCATCCACACAACCTTACATTGAAGTACATTGTAGTGCTGTCGAGGGAGGAGGAGTTTATATTATTTATCGATGGTGTTTTTAATCGGCAAGCCATATCATCGTCAATTTTTCACCAAATCTCAAGATTGAGCCACCAATTTCGAAGGCTTCCTTCTCCTTCAGGAGTACAAAATAGTCCAATTACCCCGAAAATTCAGGCAAACAAGTTATAAAAGAAAACAGACTTTATTTCCGAATAACTAAAAAATTACACACTTTCCTCATCGTTATGTCCGTGATTATATAAAAGATTACTAAATTCCCTACACACTGAAAAAAAAATCGTTGAAATCGGACAATTTTTAGCAAAGATACAGCTTACTGAAATTCGTAAACATGTTGGTTCCAAACAAAAATGAAGATTTAAATTAATTTTTGTTTTTTTGTTGATTATATTTATTGATATAGTAACATTTGATTGCTTTATCCTTTGACACGTTGCATTATTTTCTTTTGTTATTAATCTGCCATTTGATAACAATATGCTGTGCGAATTTTTCGCACGGGCCTACTAGTCAAGAATAAATAAATAAATAAAAATATTATTATATAAGATAATGTAGAAAAAATAATGACCACACATAACATTAAAAGATAATTTTTATTTTTTCAGTACACGAGGGTGCTACTATCTTACGACGAATAGCACAACTTCGAATGAAGAAGCGTATATTGAGACGTCAACGTTATCAAGCCAATAGTTTATTTACATAAAAAAATGTAAATATTTTATTCAAACTCATTAAAATTCATTAATTATGTTGTATCTTTTCTTTGCGATATATTTATATTCTATTATTAATGAGTACAATATTACAAAATATACATTTTTTTTTAAATTAAGGACTCCAGCATTTTTTTCTAATACAGGTTAATATTTTGATTAAATATGTAAACAGAAATATAATAAAAGTAATATGCTTAGAAACATAAAGTATATTTTATCACCCACCAGTAATTAAATCCCAAGAAAAGTAACGAATTGTTGGCTGAGATCCCTTGAGTGTTTTATTACTATTTAAGCATTCACTTATTTTAATATTTCTCCAGTTCTATTAAATTATTACAATATCCTGGAAAGCCGAACGAGAAAGAACAGAAGTTAAAGTTGACTGACGAGATACGGAATAGAAATTACTTTATTTCTCACTATATATTACTGAAATTGCTTAGTTTGATAGAGTCGAAATTGCATTGTGTTGTTTATAAACAGAATACATTGAAACAAGGCGGTCATTCAGAATTTTTTTTTTATCGTGAATCTCTGTATATGTAGTTTAGGCCATAGAAATCACGAGGTTGTCCACTTTTCGGACATACATAAAATTTTTTAAGGAAGATTACCGAGCAGATTTAACTGCAATTTATAAAGATTCTTTCTATTTTTACTAGTTTATTTCTTCGTGATATTTTCTAGTTTAATTCATGATTTAATTTTCTTCAAAACAAAATCCCGGCACTACTCAGGTAACGTCCTTCCTTACGCCTTCCTGTCCCATCTTCAAGTGAGTTCTCTTCTCTTCTCCGGCTTCCTTCTCCAGATGTTGCTACCTGCTCGTTCCTTTTCCTTCTTCATCGATTAGTTACCGATATGGGAGTTTTCAATGAATTATTTTTCCAATGCATAATTGAGTACAATTTGTAGTGCAAAATCACATTCATATATATTCCTTCTCATTCCCTCACACAATGTCACATAAAGGAGTAAATACTGGGGGCTATCTACAAAAAATTAAAGGTTGGTTTGGTAATTTTCAAATCAGTAACACAATAAGTTTTTTTTATTATTTTTATTTATTGAGATATTAACACATTCACAGTATCTGGTGTTATTTTTTTATCGTTGGTTCTGTTATGCTAAGAATAACTGCCATAGCAGATTTTGTTTAGTTGTGTACACAATAGCTGGCAATTTTCAATATTTTTCACAAATATCGAGGAGACCTTGTTTCCCAGGGTATTGCTATAGACCCCATTACTTATCCATTACTCATTTTGAAGCACTTGGAACTGGTTTGGAGTAAAGAAAGGGGATTCTTCAGCCATTCCTTGCGAAGACGTACCTGGTTGGGGCTGAGGTTCTGGATCTGAAGTGTTCACTGTAGTTAATGAAGATGTTTCTCATAGGAAGCGACGAGCTCTTTGTTTGGTAGGAGAACCACGAGGAGTACTAACGCCATCTGATGGAGTCCTCTTAGTGGGAACATTCCTGGACATCACTTGGTGATAATATCGCATATCGTGAGAGAAAAAAAAATTAATTAAATAAAAATAAGATATTAAAAAGTAAATATCAACTACTCTGATGTACAATTGAACTGTATTCAGTTAGTAATCAGAGTAATTCCGCTAAAAAATAGGCAAAAACTAATAGATGAGTTGAGAACACGACCTTCGCATCAGCTGATCCACTGTCTTCTTAACTATATCCAATTTGTTTTTATATTAATCTGTATTTTACTCCCTTAAATTCGTAATAATTAGATAGAATGCGCAACTGCTTGGAACGCGTCAGACATTTTCAGATTTTTTTATTTATTTTGGCAATGTGTTTATATTTAACTGATTTCTGTATACTTTTCGTAACGTTGTGCAATTTTTCCATAATTTTAAATTAAACTTTTGATAATCAACACCGTTATGTATTATCCCTTAAATAAATCTGTTCATTTAAACATAATACTTGAGATGTTATAAAACGATTTAAAGTTTTGCATAAGTATTATAAATTCCTTATACTGTACTAGTTTACTCAACATAAACTCTATAATAAAGTATAAAAATTAATAATTTACATAACTGCAATGTTTCAAACATGTCAAAAACAACCACAATAAACTGTGTAACTGATCAAGTCACAACAATTGCTTGAGCGATTAAAATAAACTTTTATGCCACCATTGCTGGAGGTGAGGGTCGAAAAGCTAAATATGGTTTTAATCTGTTTACTCGACATTGCATAATAGCACAATAAATTTCTCCGTTCTAAGTAGGGGCGAAGGTGGAGATATTAGAATATTCAATGAAAAATAATGCACTCTCATGTAAAATATTCAGCACGTTTAAAGTGGGTAATAATTTCTTAAGACAAATGTGAGACAAAAAGAAAAAAAAAAAAAAGGAATCACTAAATAGAGAATTAAATAAAACTTTCATTCATTGTTTTAGCCGCTTTTAAGTATTTAAAAAAACAATTAGAGAAATAATTATATCTATCCTGAGAGAATTTACTTACATATCTACTTCATCAACTATAGAAAAAGTTTTAAATTTCTGCCAATGTTCGAAAAAACCATATTTCTGCAACAAAATTAAATATTTGATGACGTTAATTTTCCTGGCGATCAGTTAATATATTTAAGCATATATGCATTTACAATATATTTCCTTAGGATGGATTAGATTTTCTCTAAATTAAATAAACATTTTTTATTAGCTTTTAATTGAAAAAATTGCAACCACATAGTCTTGTGTCTATAAAATGTAAAAAAAAAGAAGTAAAAAACAAAAAAAATTACAATATTTTTTTTGCCAAATGCCATTCCAAAAATGTATTAATGTTTATTCAAAAGTAGTTTAGTGTAACTAAATTCAGCAGAACTAATTCAGTTGCAGGGCACCTGAGGTGGAACAATGAAGCTATCCAGTTAGCCTTTTATGGAGTTAACTATTGTTTTGCTAACACTTGTTGGTCGAGTTAAGCGAAACCGGTTAGTAGCTTTCCTAACTCATAATGTCATCACATTTCCCAGAAGTTTCAACATCAAATTCGTCAGAATCAATTACCTTAGACAAACTTCATTCAGAATGTTCAACTTACGATTTGGGTCCAATGTCACAAAACATAACAATGGCATGTTTAGGTTTTAGTCAACCATATTAACAGAATGCTTACTTACAAATAGACTGTGTAGCGTCAACCGGGATAGAAATGGCCAATATATGTACTTTGCTGGTGTACACTTACTGTTTGAGTTAAAACAACAACCTTTTTGAGTGTCCGAGGTTTCCAAGAAGACTGCTAAGATGGTTGGTTGTGTTGTATATCTTTAGCTTATAAATATTAATAATTGGACAAAATTAAGAAAATGTAAAATGTACGTTAAGGTTAAAAGTTGTTTATTGTAATTAAAATTTAGTTATTTAAAGTGCGCACGTGAAGTAAAAAAGAAAAAGGAAAAAAAATAGCTGTAGAGTGCTGCGTGGGAGCTTCAGATATTTTTCATGATTCGTTCTTCGAAAAGAAAACTTCGAAAAGATTTCGCTAAGGATTTTTTCATCATTTCCCAAAGCAGCCGGTCTATTTGCTGGTATTCCCCTTTTGTTTAATTGTCTAATGTAAAAGGCACAGCTCTCGAAGATATGGACCACTGTCATTCTTTCTCCACACTTCCGACAAATGAGCGAATTTTCTTTCGTAATTAAGTGAAGGTGCGTAAGCCTGGTATGACCTATTCTTAGTCGCGTAAGGACAACTTCCTCTCTGCGTTTACTGCGACTGCAACTGCTCCATAGCTTCATTTCTTTTTTATTTGTAGGGCTATTGTCCCATAATGTCTGCCAATCTTGGTGCCCTCTTTCAGGGGTCGCGCCAGTTCGGACGCAGTCAAGAAGGCTATACCACGTCCTGGAAGGGTTAGTTTCTTCTGCCGCTCTGCCAGCCAGTATAGTAACTTATACTTTTTGCATATTTAATGGGAGGATGTTTTTACATAAATAGACACGGTGCTATGAGTTTTGGAAGAAACTATTTTTTTTCTAGAGTTTTAATTTAGGGATACTTTCTAGGTTGTTCTTATTTGTTTCTACTCTCACATGCCACTTTGGTAATACGGGGGTATGCTGTAGTGTGATGTTAAGCATTGCATAACAACACACTACGGCTATTATAAAACCATACACTATTCAAGGCTGTCTACACAGCTCGTTTGTATTTTCTTTACTTATTTCCTTCGTCTTCTTATTCTTCAACAAATCAAGCATGCCTTCCAGAATCTGGAGGTCTTCCTGCACTCTTTTCCTTCTACGGTCCCCTTGATTGAAGGGAGCTGAACCTTGAGGAGACTGTGTAAATTTTGTGGATGAGAGACCTTCTGTAAATTCTATTTTGAGTCTGAAATAATGACATGGAAGTGATACCGTTGGGTATTGTTTTCTTCTTCCTCATGCCTTACATGTGATTAGTATTTTCTTACTAATCTTGACAGACAATCCACTGATTGTCAATGATGTGTGAGACAGGCATGTATATAAAAATTAAGTTAAAAAAACATACAATTATTTTTTCATCATGAACTCTACCGACGATACGGCCAACTGTACCGACTACTAAACAGAAAATCTAAACTTTCCATTGAAAATAAGCTACTGATCTACAAGACAATACTGAAACCTATTTGGACTTACGGACTAGAACTGTGGGGATCTGCAAAATTTTCTAAAATCAAGCGTATCCAATCCTTCCAGTCAAAAGTCCTTCGGACAATAGTCGATGCTCCTTTCTATGTGACCAACAAAATCCTACATCATGACCTCAAAATCCCATTTGTCCTAGTCCTTATCCCCGAAAAGTTCTCCAAATTTCACCAGAACCTTACGTACCACCCAAATCCTCCTACACAATCCCTATCAAGCACCTCCCATCCCTATAATCCTCAAAGAAGGTTGAAACGGCAGTGGCCTCGCGACCTTTTGCAGATTGCATAAATTGGAGTTCTGGCAATGGCCAGATTCTTCACTCAAGACATGAGTGTATGTGGCTAAAGTGCTCTCGATCAATCTCCGCTGGCTTTAGTACCAGTGACGTTGGGAGAGTAGCGCAGTGTTCTTCTGGAGTTCCCTCGCCTGATTGTATGTAAGTATGCATGTGTT